GGATTACCCATGTCTTAGTCTATCTTCCTTACTGATTATGATTAAAAGTAACAAGCACAAAGGCTCCAACTTTAGCTTTGACCACAAACTAATTTAACGCATAAAGTTCAAACCTAGTACATGTCTGGACCTCTGGTCAAATCCTGATTTTATAACTATGACATCGTCTTATGAAATCACCAAATACATAAATGAAAGACAAAGTCTGAGCTGTGATTTTAGCTGGATTTACTGTAACATGATCAGAGAGAAAGTTAGACACAATATATTTCTGGATCCACAATAGTTTAGTCTTTATTTACTTTATGTCTAACTCCCTCTGTTTGATATGTAGAGTTGGTCATAGTCGTTAGTAGGAAGCCTCGTTACCGATGACTTCTCTCTCTCCCTGCCTCTCTCCCGCTCTCTCTGCTCGGTGTGTCTTAATTTTAGTTATTCCTTTGCCTCCTTTAGTAATAATGACACTTGTAATCAAAGTAGTTCATTTGTTGTAATGGAGGCAAAACTCAGTGTATTGGAAGCACTCCTCCTGTTCCCTGCAGTTTCGGAGGTGCAGGGAAACCAGAGTAGCTTGGTAGACTGCCCGTAACAAGAAGTGTAGTCCTAAACCCCCGGTCAGCATCCATACAAGGTCCAGACCTGAACCAGGTTATGCAGAGTTAACAACACTGCAGCTGTTGACACCTCCTAACAGAACCTGTTTGAGCCAGTGATGAGGCACTCTGCTGACCAGTGGTGGAACTATGATCATGTCAGTCAGTCAGTCAGTCAGTCATCGACATTCCAGATTATAGGGTTGGCCTGATGTTGCGGTGCAACCAAAAATTTATTTGGTTTACAGGTTGGAGTATAAACATGGATGTAGCATCAATTAGTTAGTGGACTAACATAATCAGAATTAGGTCAAGTCAGTGTAACTGAGGAGGTACAATAAAATGGCTACCAACAGGCTAACTTGGATAGACTGAAACAACCGCTAATCAAGCAAACGTGACCCTACTTCACTTAATGGGACAATGATTGACATCTCAGTATTGTGTGTGCCACTTGATTTTGACCAATGTTATTTTGGAGTGGTCTTAATGAGACAAAAGCTGCATAAAAAATAACTGTTGAAAATGAGGAAATGTATTACATTCTTCATCAGAAAAGAAAAATTGATGTAGGAGTGGAAAAATGAACTAATTACTGTTTTAATTCAAAGTCTTACTAAACAACCTGCAGAATCACACACTGTGGTTCCAGATAGGAAAAAAGAGCATCTTTTGCCATCCATTTCTTTTTTAGAAGTCAGTGACTCAGCTGTTGTTAATAAGAAGCATGCATTGAGTAATGTTGTCTCTCTTAGTTAAGTTATCTGACATGACTACTTCTTGGAAGCAGCAGATTTTTGGAATAAATTCATCAGCAGTCCACTCAGAATCAAAAAGGAAGCTGCAACAAACAACAAAAACCTATAAGCAGCATGCTGACAAGCTAGGCTAGGCTAATAGAACACTATCATTATCTGTTGATGTAACATTAGAGTTCTCCAGATAAATCCAGACGATGAACAGTAGTGTATCAAACATGTGAATGGAACAGTTTCTGTGCTAATTCTGGGTTGAGCTGGAACAACAATGAGAGAGAGGTTCTGTTCAAACAACAGTTCATAATGACAAGACTTACTGATGAAAGTTAGTGTTAGTGCAGAGCAGTGTCACATCACCACTGTGTGTGCTATCAAGTGAGCAGTGCCTTTTCCACAGACCTCACAACAGACATGAACGACAACTGTAGCCATGGTAACCATGCATAACAAAGATGGCAACAGCTGTAGCCACAGAATGCTCACATGATACAAAAATTAAAATGTCTGTCACAGGTAACAAGATTTAACAAGAATAAATAAATACTGATATACTGATATTTTCGTGAAAATACTAAGACCACGACTAAATCAAAATCACACTGCAAGCCAGATGACCACTCTGCAACAGTTTCTACAATTCTATGTTGATGCTCATTGTAAAGCTCATTTATTACAATGAATTCCAAAGGTTCTTACAATAGAGATTCAGTATCATGATATACATATAAACTCATTGTATCTCTCCAGGATAACGCACCTCACTGCTGCCCATCTGTATAAATATGTTGAAAACATGCAATCTTAGTTTTACCAAAATATGGTTAGAAAAGCTATGCCATGCCAGATGTAAGCACATACAGTAAATTAATGAATTAATAATTTTTGAATGAAGCATTTTTTTTTTTTAAATATATCTGAACAGGAGAGTCTTCATTCAGCTCACTGGCTTCTGTTTGCCTTATAGTCAAATCGTATGTTTAAAATTCCTTCTGTTTTTGTTTTCTACATGATGCTGGGAAGCAGTGTTTGCAAATCTATACCAATATGACAGAGGACAGAAAGGAATGCTTTAGTCATAATAGCAGGTAGTCAACAGAAGAACAATCACCAGACATTCATAAATTACTGTTCATTGATTTCGTTCAATAACTAATTAATCAATATTATCACGCGTGGTGGATTTTTTTTCATATTGATTGCTATCAGTGATCATCGACATATACATATGAGACCATTAATGAAGAAAGAAATGCATTCAGCATGTGTTAAAACTGAATAAAACGACTGTTTACAAAAAACTTCGCAGAGGCTGAAGGGGAACGTTCAGTTTAGGATTGAATCTTAGATGAATCATTTGTTACAGTTCAAAACAATCATTTATTTTTGAATCAATAATATGACACTCACTGAAACCAACATGGTATATATGTTCATTAGGCTCATGTAAGGCTCTGCGACACAGTGGGTAAAGCGGCCGCAGTCTGCATAAAGCTGAGGCAGAGCTGTTTTGAAAACATGTTTCTGACCTGGGGTTTTATACTCGGCGTCAAGCACTTTTATTAGCTTTTGAAACACATGTCTTTTTGCATGCTGGAGTGGTGGATAGTAACGCAATCTTTTCAGATGGTGGAAAAGGTTTGTTGTGTTTTCTCTCTTTGTTTGCCTGCATGTCTTCCACAAATACCGGTTCACTGTTTGTCAAGCTTTAAAAATCATCAGTGTTGTGTGACCTCTCTTTGCCACAAGTTCATCATCCCGTGAATCCATCTGACTCTCCTCAGTTGCTCATTCCAACAATGTATGCGTGTTTTCCTTGCTTTGGTCTTGCGTGAGTCATAATCTAACTGCTGTAGCCCAATGGGGTGAGTGCGCATAGCGTTGACCCGAATGTAGAACAGATACATTTGTCGCAACTTACTAACCAGTTAGCCAATTACTTGAGCACTGAAAAGGACTTTTTATATGAAGTGTACATGACTTTCCTTTTTTCGGTGACCTAAATGTTACCTTGGGCAGTTTACCACAAAAAACCTCCAGGGGGCTTAACAGTGACATCTGGTATCTGAAGTGTACCCTCCCCTCCACTTTTACCCCTTCCTATAGTTTGATGGTAACCTTACAAGCCCAGGTTGGGTCCTTTCTCTTCAATCAAAGCCAGTTGTTACTACACTCAGCAGCGGGTATCGTAGCCTCAAACTCCCATCTCTTTCACAAGCCTGGTGGTTGGTGTGGCCGCACAACCTCTGCAACTCACTTCCACTGGTAGCACTCATGCTCTGCAGCCCCGCTACCCTACTTCAGCTGCTGTGTGTGCCTGTTTCAACCTTTCTCATTCACAGTTCGTTCCACAATGCATAGGGACCTTTGTGAGGTCGACCACAAATTACTATTCATTAGGAAATGATTAATAATGAACTTAATAACTACAATCAAAATCACCATATCAACAGTAAGTAAAGTTGAAGGATTGGAGTACTACAGAGTAGAGGTTCAAAACATTCTTCCTCATGCAACATTAAACACACCAGTAGTTATACTTAAAGACGTCTATTTACAATGCAGTAAAAGTGAAACATATATGTCTATTCTACTAAGTAAATACAGGTGTAGGTGTGTGTGTGTGTATGTGTGTGTGTGTGTGTGTATACACAAACAAAAGCAAGATGGCTGATTCGCTGTGACCACACAGCCTAACATTAAAGACTTCCAGATGGCGGTAAACAAAGGAAACTGGTGGACTCTAAGATGGCCGCTGAGGCCACATGCCATGTGGGGTAGGAAGAGAGTCAGTTCCTTGGTTTAGGTCACACAGTGACCAACACTAACTGGTTGTTAGGTCCCTGGGGGGAGGTCATACCCAGGTGTGAACGTGAAGCATTGTGGGGAATGAAGTTCAAATGACCTTTGAAAAAGAAGATGTTGTCTCCACCATCTTGAATAGCCTGAATCCCAACAGCGTTTTAAACTGGTTCGTGTGTCTGATGGAACAGGTATCCAATGGACATTCATTAACTCTATTTTTTTAATATATTTTTTAATATTGAGCAGCCATTGGACCAAAAGATCACCTCACTTTATTTATAAAGTCCATTTATAAACTGAAAATACTTTTGATAATCAAATAATATATTTTTAGTTCATTATAATGTCCCAGCTTCTGAAATGTGAGTATTTTTCCTAATTTCTCTATTTTTAACAAATTTGAACTGAAATTTGAACAAAATTAAACTGAATATTTTTGACAAAATGATATTTTACAACATCACCTCAGGCTGAAGCAAACTGTGAGCATTTTTCACAATTTTCGGACATTTTAAACAACATTGTAAATAATTAATTGATTATATGAAAAATATAATATTGATACATGAAATAATAATGGAGAATAATCATGACACGCAGCGATATGTGACAGGAAGTATGATTTGCTGTGTGTCTGTATGTTTGTTGTGTTGAATGCAGTTTCAAATCTATATGTGGTGACATCACAGATTGATGACACTGCCCGGTTCATATCCTAGCATTAATAAAAGGCCGATATCAGCTGTGTACATCACTAAACTGCTGTATTTGCTCAGTTTACTCAATAACAGTGTCAGATGTGTGGGACAGGGGGAGGCACTGTTGGATTGTGGGTGATGGATCTTACCACAGTGGCCAGTCTTATTTTCTTGCTGAAACAGCAATGATGATGGTGAGGATGGTGAGGACGATGGCTCCGGCCACCAGGAGGTAGCACTTCCTCTTCCTCAGCTGCCTCTGTGGGCGGAGAGGATTCAGCATGTGAGTGGAGTTCAAGCATTAGACAGTTCCCTGTTTTACACTTTACACATTCTGCTGGTTCCTCCAAAGGGAAACCTACACCCGGAAAAAAAGACAATAATAATAATAATAATAATAATAATGGTGTCTTAAATCTTTGCATGACTGGTTTGCTGTTAAATAATCATGTGTCTGTTTTTCCGCTCTCTGTAAAACGTGCAGCTCTAAACCTGCATGTCTGCACACGATAGCCACTGCCATCGTGAATAAGCAGCCCTGTAAATGTCAAACTCCAGTTTAATAACCACAACAGCCCAAACTGCCCCGTTACTGCCCTCTTGTTGTTTTTGAAATAATTCAGTGCAACAACACAGCGCACGTTTCCACCCACTCGCAAAAGAACAGAGCAGGTATCTTGAAAGTGAACGTGAAAGAACAAGGAAAGTGGCATTTGGATGAGATGAGCTGGATGAGATTAACGCAGCTGTAGAGGAGCTGGAGGATTTAAGGTCGTGCTGACAAATACAGATAAATTGCAGGAAAGGGATGACTGTCAAAAAAAAAAAAAAAGTGGTTGCCTCCACTTCGTGCCGTCAAAGTGCTGTACAGTCATCACTGTGATGGCTCTGCTGCATGTTACACTCGCCTGCGATGGCACACAAACAAGCTTCCCCTGATCTTATTCATTCAGCCCCTGTAGAGCTGTTAGTTCATCAGCCTGTTTAGTGGCTGTGTCGTTGCTTAAATTTAAAAGTTAAAATTATGAAAAAAAAAAAAACAACAACAACAACAACAAAAGAGATAAAATGGTGTCTTTTGCAGGTTTATCACCTGATTACAAACTCTGGATCTTCTTCAAGTGGCTCATTAATCTACCATCTTTATTCAGTTTGGCTGTTTTCAAAAAACACACCACGGATGTGAGAACACACACCGGATGGGTTTCAGCCTCGAGATGCTTTCAGCAAACAGGACTAAGAACTGTTACCTGTTCAAGTGTGTCACATATGACTGTGTTTCCCAAAGCACAGAGACACTGTGGATAGTTGAGGTTCTTTTTGCTTTTCTATTCATTTACAGGCGTTTACAGGTAATTAGGTTTGTTTTAAGTTGTACATTTTTTTTCATATATGTGAGAATCATAATGTTACTTCATGTTGTATTATACAAGATTTTAAATTTGCCAGTTATACACTGTACGTCTACATATTTGTTCCTACTCTATATGTTGAATTTACATTATATTCTGCATGTTCATTTTATTGTTTTGGGATTTAGAAACAATATAAATATGATGAAACTGCAATGGATGCTGACATCATATGTCATACAACAATACAAAGTAAAAAATTATTTAAAAAAAAAATTCATTTTTAGTTTCAAACTCATGTAACCTTCAGAGCGTCTCAGAGAAGTGCTCCTCATGAGCTGTCAGATGGATGAAATGTGTGGAAGGTGCCAGGCCAGAGTCTCTACAGAGGGATAAAGCTTAAATCAAAAGCTGCTTGATTACAGAACATAAAACTCAGAAACATGTAAAACCTCACAATTTCATAGTCACTTGCGTTCAGTCCGTTATTTTCATTTTAAGTGCTTACAGCTCTCGAATGGTTTTCAGAACCATTTTCTGTTTCATTTCTAATATTGCCTGTGGTGTAATTTAGATAAATGCTTCAAACGTTCCTCTGCACAGTGCACGAGCTTTATTCATTCATGTCAATTACTTGCCATGTTTTTTTTTTTTTTTTTTTTTTTCTTAAAGGAAAAACTGTAGACTGTGGTAAGCAAAAATATTAAAGTAAATAGAGTGAAGAGCAGGGGTTAGGAAATATTTATATATTTCCATGTCTCCTCAGGCGGTGACGATGTTTTGGAGCGCAGAATCTATGTTGTTCTGAAATGCTTTTTCTCCCGTTTTTTTCCAGCCTGTTTTCTGCTACAAAGGCAGCGAGAGCAGCAGCGTTAGACCAGAGCCGAGGCTGGAGTCTTTAAATCCTGACGCGCTTCAAAGCGCGGAGAGAGCAATTCATCTTCTTATCTGAGACTCAAAACAGGCTTTCTGTGTGGAAGAGAGAGGGAGAGAGGGAGAGGGAGAGAGGGAGGAAAAAAAAATGCTGTCGAGTAATTTTCCGTTTAAACGTTCCACTCCACAACAATTTGCATAAGCAGCCCTGCGTCTGTGATAAGAAGATTGGTAATTTTCAAAGACTCTGTGGGGATTGAGAATTAAAAGCCTTTCTCCGCTATCTCCCCTCTTGCAGCTGGCCACCACAGATTCCCCAGCTTCTCGCACGCATTTCCTCCTAAACTACGCCTTATAAACTTTCTCTGCCATCCTCTCCTTCTCCCTGCTCGCTCTGACAGTGCTGAGTCCTTCCCTCTCTCTATATACTGTATTCCCTCCCTCCCTCTCTCATCCATACTCCTGAATTCTTTCTCTATTCCTGCTGCTCACTCATCCCGGCACTGCTGTTATTTGGGGAGAACAAGAAAATAAATAAGGTAGAGGGGGAACAAAAAAGGGCTTAGTCTAACAAAAGGAAGTGTTGCAGTATTTTTAAACCAGAATTTTCCAGATTGCAGGACAGGCAGAGAGGCAGGACAGAGAGACTTGCAGAGGGAGAGACAGGGGAGGATAGAGAAGGGATGCTCTTATCACCAGTGACTTAATCTTCAAGAGAATGTGTCCTCAGTGCCAGCACTTCAGGGCCTGTGGGTGCGGGAAGACCCTCAGGGAGGAGACACCGTTTTTATTCACTTTTAACATCTAATATGAGGGGAATAGTTCATATTTATGATGGGTAGTCTGATATTTAAAAAAAAAAAATTGAGAATTTCCTTCTTATCAGTGTGTAAAATCCTCTGAAGCCGAGTGTTACAAAGTTTATCGCTAACTATGGTTAAATCTAACTCTACTGAAACTCAAACAGCTGTTTCCATCAGCATGGGTTGAAGCACATTTTCATTTTGCAAATAAAAAAAAGTGGGAGTGGGAAAAACAAAAAGACAAAATATCACAAAAAGGGTTGGTGTTGGTGTATTGATGAAAAAACAAAAACAAAATATGACTAAGATGAATGACAACAGACTTTGCAAATCAATCATGACGTCCATGCAACATGACTTAAATGTCACACGTTATTGAAGGCAAAAAATAAATAAATGTCATATTTCCGTCATGTTTTCCTGCCCACTTCCTCTGCAGTGGTGGAAAATTAGCATCACCAAATCAAAATGTATAAATTTTGTGCCACATTTGAACAGAAACTTCGACTTGCTTGCAATCTGGTCATAACTGGAATCAGCTGAAATGAAGTTATTCCTATAGACATTTATTGTAGGACAAAATAAACTGTATATAACCAGCTAAATATTCAACATTTAAAATGTGACTAAAGCAGAAAACTAACAGGAGTTAAACCCTTCTTGACGAAAACGCCTGCCCACCCTAAGGAACTATTCAGAATCTGTAAGAAACCAGTTTCTTCTCCAGGCTCAGGTCGCAGTGGGAGAAGACTGAGCAGACATCCTCACATCTTTCAGCTCATCCAAGGGGATCCTGGGGCAGTCCCAGAGAGCTCTGCAGCATGCTGGGTCTGCACCAAGGTCGCTTCCCAGTTGGATGGAAGGTGTCCAGGGACACATCCTGATCAGAGTCACCATCAGTGGCAGCTTTGAGCAGGAAGGAGCTGAGACTTGGGAACCATCTTTAAGAGAAAGCCCAGAAATCACACGTCAAAGAAACAGTGTTAGGCTGCTTGTAGCAGTGATCTCATCCTCTCAGTCAGTACTCAAAGCTAATGACCATAAGTGAGGGTGGACATATTAACTGCACGCGACTCCAGCTCTTCACGATGACAGGCCCAGATGAAGGTACAACAGAACTACAGTTGCTGCATCAATCAAAATCATTTTTTTTCATTTGTGAGCAAACCCCTGAGAAAATCCTCCTGCAAGGCCGGTATCTCCTTTCCACCCTGTACGGAGCAATTCATCTTTTTCTGACAGAGAACGCTGGCCTCAGACTAGGGGGTGCTAACTCTCATCCTGACTGTTTCACACTTGGCTGCAAAAGCCAGCAGAACCACATCATCGGCAAAAAGCTGGGCCACAAGCCTGAAGTCATCAAAGTGGAAGCTCCAGTCCTTTGCTGCACCTCAAAATTTTGTGCATTAAAATCACAAATAGAAAATGTGCAAAAGGGAAACCAACAGGCTTCCAACAGGCTCAGCACTTTACAACTGAAGTATCCCCCACAGCAGATGTCCAGAGACACAGTCCCCGCCTTCACCAGGACCCCAAATCACCCATGAGCCCTTCAGTATTTGAGAGAAAGTAAAGAGCAGGTCCACTGCTCCGTGATCAGGACTGATTCTGCAGTGGACCAACTGAATCTGAGAAGGGCCACCTCGATCTCGACTGACCACCATCTCTCCGTTCATGGAGACTGGGGGTGGCTGCAACCCTTTTTACATTTCTCTCAGTTACTCAGAGAATATCTGTTCTAGACAAACAAACTTTGATATATTAAACTTACATCTGTCTGCTAATGACCCACACCATTTAAAGATGATCACATATTACACATTTACTGACAATATTTATTTGAATGGAAAAATTCAGATGTTGCAACTGACTCCAACTCTGAGGACAGCTGCAACATATTTAGAATACATAAATTCAGTTTTGCTGTCTCAATAAGCATAGTATTCTGAGAAATATGTAATTGTCTATGATAATATGGTGGTATTATCTATTAATACAATAATAATGACTATAATTTTTAGTTTTATTTTTTGATCTTTTAAACATTGTTAAATTGCTCTCTTGAGACAGGCATATTCCAGATAACAAAACAAACAGACCGAGTAAAACTGCACTTAAAAACACAAACCTTGACCTAATGTGCTACTTCAACTGCCTTTCCTAGGTAAAATATTGGAAAAGGCAGTATTGAAACAGTTGGATGAATTCCTAGGTAAAATAAAATCATGATA